ATATTTTTAAGTTTGTGCAATGGCCGCTAGGGGGCGTAACTGCAATCTGGAATCTAAAAAAGTGATATTTCTATGAATTCCGCTACATTAACCTAACAAAAAATGTCCGGTCTTTGAAGTTGACAATAATCTGAACCTTTTTTGTTTGAAAATTTTTCTTGTATCTCTAAAAATGAAGTGGTGGGGGGTATTCAAAGGTTTCCGTAAAGAACACCCTGTATCTTCGAAACGGCTGAGCCGATTTAAACAAACTCGGGTTAGTTCAAAACATCTATTCTTCAGCTACAAATATTATACTACATATTTGAAGTTTTGTTAGTTTCACATATTACCGCTTGAGGGATTTTTTTCGACATTCCTACATATTTTTTATCGTGATGGCCAGCATTTCGAGCATTTACGGCGGCATTAAAAGCTTCCTTTTTAAATCGACCCACCTTAGGGGTACAAATTATATATATATAAAAATAAATTCGGAAAAATTAGCTTAAATAAAATTTTGAGGGTATAAAATTTTCTTTGATCTAAATTTTAGGTTAGAAATCAGATATCGAGATGCTGTTTTCGCGAGCTTGTTTAGGCATCATTTAGCTACCTTTTCATGAAAAAAAAATCAAACCAACGCATTTAATTTTTTGGAGAAAATTAACAATTTCTGTCGGAATGTCGAAAAAAGCCCTCAAGCGGTGATATGTGAAACTAATACTTCAAATACTAAAATATTTGTATCTGAAGAATAGATCTTTTGAACTAACCCGAGTTTGTTTAAATCGGCTCAGCCGTTTCGAAGATACAGGGTGTTCTTTGCGGAAACCTTTGAATACCCCCCACCACTTCATTTTTAGAGATACAAGAAAAATTTTCAAACAAAAAAGGTTCAGATTATTGTCAACTTCAAAGACCGGACATTTCTTTGTTAGGTTAATATAGCGGAATTCATAGAAACATCACTTTTTAGATTCCAGATTGCAGTTACGCCCCCTAGCGGCCATTGCAGAAACCTAAAAATATTTTCCAGGTTTTTCTCGTGGCCGTTTTAGTAAATTTTTTTACCGCAAGCCTCTACGATGGACAGGTTCCCAGATACAGTATCTCGCATTCTTATTTGGCCACCCTGTACAATAGTCCCCGCCGCTGTATTTTTTTTTAACTAAGTAGTATTGCTTTTTAGCATGTTGGAGGGATGGGGAAATTGCAGTAGATATCCATCCAATGTATACAGTAGCAGATGTGAGCAGGAGGATATCCGTCAATCTAGCTGGCATTATTGTATTATTACTTAATACACAGTGTCATAATTAAATATGCATAAAAAGTGGAAGGTGGAGGGCCCAAAACAAATATTTTTTCCAAATCAATGGAAGGTTCAAAGCCTAAAGGACCAAATGTGCATTGCTTGATCAATTTTCTTTCCATCAACCAATTTAATTAAGCAATTGGGCTCGGCTTCGAATGCTCTTTCAGATTTTGAAAAACGTTCATCCGTGAGCCCCCACTGCTGCGAGAAAGAATTCCCGATTTGAGTCAATTTGGTTTTTTGAAAATTTAAAAAAATTCCTTTAGTCTGCATTTTTACGCATGCGCGGCCACTTTTCGGACTGTAAGATAAGAATACCTTTTTTTTTAAATAGTCTGATAGTTTTTCTAACAATTTTTGTGGCCCGACCAAGAATTGCACCTGAATTTTTTCCAATTTTCGAATTTTGTCGTTTCGATTTTTCGCACCCCCATTCAGGGGTGCTGTATCAGACACAACAATTTTTATAAACCACATACAGATATATCTGGGCGGAATTCGCAAAAAAATGTCATGGATCTGGTGGATGTACAGGGTGGCCAAATAAGAATGCGAGGTACTGTATCTGGGAACCTATCCATCGTAGAGGCTTGCGGTAAAAAAATTTATTACTAAAACGGCAACGAGAAAAACCTGGAAAATATTTTGAAGTTTCTGCAATGGCCGCTAGGGGGCGTAACTGCAATCTGGAATCTAAAAAAATGATTTTTCTGTGAATTCCGCTATATTAACCTAACAAAAAAATGTCCGGTCTTTGAAGTTGACGATAATCTGAACCTTTTTTGTTTGACAATTTTTCCTGTATCTCTAAAAATGAAGTGGTGGGGGGTATTCAAAGGTTTCCGCAAAGAACACCCTGTATCTTCGAAACGACTCAGCCGATTTTAACAAACTCGGGTTAATTGAAAAGAGTTATTCTTCGGCTATAAATATTATAATATTTGAAGTTTTGTTAGTTTCACATATCGCCGCTTGAGGGCTTTTTTCGACATTCCGACCGAAATGGTTAATTTTCTCAAAAAAATTAAATGCGTTGGTTTGATTTTTTTTTCATGAAAAAGTAGCTAAATGATGCCTAAACAACCTTGCGAAAACCCCATCTCGATATCTTGCTCCTAACCTAAATTTTAGGCCAAAGAAAATTTTATATCCTCAAAATTTTATTTTTTTAAGCGAATTTTTTCGGAATTATTCTTATTATATAATTTGTGCCCCTAAGGTGGATCGATTTAAAAAAGGAAGCTTTTAATGCCGCCGTAAATGCCCGAAATGCTGGCCACCACGATATAAAAAATAATAAATATAATAAATATAAAAATCAAGATTTCGAGATGCTGTTTTCGTGAGTTTGTTTAGGCATCATTTAGCTACTTTTTCATGAAAAAAAAATCGAACCAACACATTTAATTTTTTGAGAAAATTAACCATTTTTGTCGGAATGTCGAAAAAAGCCCTCAAGCGGTGATATGTGAAACTAACAAAACTTCAAATAGTATAATATTTGTAGCTGAAGAATAGCTCTTTTGAACTAACCGAGTTTGTTTAAATCGGCTCAGCCGTTTCGAAGATACAGGTGTTCTTTACGGAAACCTTTGAATACCCCCCACCACTTCATTTTTAGAGATACAGGAAAAATTGTCAAACAAAAATTATTCAGATTATCGTCAACTTAAAAGACCGGACATTTTTTTGTTAGGTTAATATAGCGGAATCCACAGAAACATCAGTTTTTTAGATTCCAGATTGCAGTTACGCCCCCTAGCGGTCATTTCAGAAACTTAAAAATATTAATAATAACAATAATAATACCTTTATTTGGTTACATATTGCACCCATATTATCACTTCAGTATACAAAACAAGTGAGTACATTGCGAGAGCAATAGTAACTAAAAGGGCGAATTTCAGATAGTAGTTGCCCAAGCTCCTACTTCTGCTCTTCCACTTAACCCAATATTTTCCAGGTTTTTCTCGAGGCCATTTTAGTAATAAATTTTTTTAGCGCAAGCCTCTGTGATGGATAGATTCTCAGATACAGTACCTCGCATTCTTAGTTGGCCACCCTGTACAATAACTATGAAGATCCGACTATATCCAAGAAATCCAAGGATATTCGACGAGATGAACATCTGAGATTTTCCCCCTATACATAAAGAAAGGGAAATTTAGTGGTCTTTTTTTAAAACTGTTCCTAGTAGTAAGTGTCCTTAATGCTAAAAGTTTTGAGGGAGAACATAGCACAAAGAGTGGGTTCATATGGGTATACAAATGTTTTCATGATGTTCAAGATGATTGTAGGTTCATTGCATTTCTCTATATTGATTCTGTACCCCCCCAAACCCCCACCCCCACTTTAATTTTTTTATCCAAAACGCGTAGAGTACTTTACTACATATGAAATATTCGTAAAAAATATATTAACATTTTTTCTTACGAATACAATGACCTACGGCACAAAAAAAAACAAAAGTTGGCAAGTCTGTTTGTTGCAACAGGATGGTGCACCTGCATACGACATTCTAATCGTGTGAGGATACTTATCGGGCCAATTTCTTGGAGGATTAGGGCACCATCCTGCTGTATATTGTTGTATATGTAATAAAAACTCCTACTGAGTACCGAGTGTGCACTTTTTTAGGGGCCACATAAAAAATAAAGTTGATGTTGATTTCTCCGGCATCGCCGCGCTAGAAACTACCATAAAGATTGCATTGCCCTATGTTCCTTGTACTCTAAAATCAAGCAGTCCCACTAAAGTGTGTGCAACTTCACCTTCGACGCCTGAGCAAAGTACAATAGTTTTGGCAATTATTTTGATCGGAAGAGCCGGTGCAATGTGGTTTGATTTAATTCGCCGAACAAGGAAGTAACGCCTCACTTCGTTTTAACTCTCTAAAATTTAAATCTTAATGGCGCCCGCTATGCGTTTTTAATGTTCGACCTTTAAGGAAGTTAATTAATAATTTTACGAGCGCGTGCATTGAATGTAACCGTGACGAAATTGTGCCACTTACACCTAATGGTCGAGTCAGTAGAGGGCGTTACTGCTGACGGTACCCTGCGTAACCTGGTGGCACACTTTGCAACTACACCTTGCACAACGATAGCGATTATCTACTGCTCGCATAATTACCTCTAATTAGTATTCGAAATGATATCATTAACAAATTTACTTAGTTTTAAATAGGGTTAAAATCCCATGTCTGTTTTTCTCATTGCGACCTTGGTAACATTATATTGTTCGTACCATGTGATTTTATGTTTGTAATTGCTTCAGTAGCATTCGAGTGCATATCCACTGGTTGTTTCGGGCGTTCGGTTAATTTTTATCATTCTGAATCATGGTTAATCATCTCATTTCCCACCATCGCGTCGTGTGCCGATCGTAGTTACACAACAAACTCGATTATTTAAACAAATGACAACCTGCAGTGCAATTTTATCCTCGTTACGTGTGGATCGTGCGGCGGGTTTTTTTAAATAATTTCAACGAGGAATTGGACTGTTTCAACAGTGATAGCTTATCTGTGATAAGATAGGTACCTACCGCACCTGCTTGTTTGTCAATCAAGTCTGTAATACTTTTTTTGTGATGTGGCTAAGTTCGTAATTTTGATTGTGATAGGCTTGCGGCTTTTGTTGCGGGTTAATTGTGATGTTTTTAATGATCGAGCTAAACTGTGTCTTTTGATTTTATGCGACAGAAACAATGAGCGAAGATATTTTATCGAAACCATCCGACGAAGATACTATTTCCATCTGTTCAACTCAAAGTACAAACAGCGCTCGGAACCACGACATTGGCTTACAGCGCCTAAAACACGAACGCGATCGAATTACGTACGCCGGCAAATACATGGATCGCTACAAGGACGAATTCGCGAAAAAGCCATCCGCGCCCGTCCGAAAAGAGTCCCTAAGCGCGAGATACCGAGACATTCACGGGAACATTCTGCAACCGACCGAGCAGAAAGACGCAGATCCCGGGCTCGAATCGCCCGGTCGCAACGTCAAGCTGCGCGAGATTCTGAGCAGCCCGACGGGCGAAAGCAGGAAAATAACGCTCAACAGTCCCGTGGGAAGCCCGATTTTATCAAATCGTACCAACAACGCCACTCACGACCTGAACAAAGAGGACAACCTGTCTCAGCTCACGAGCTACAAGCTAGTCGGCGACACTAGGACCAAGGCTAGGAACCTGGTGGCCAGTCCGAGAGCGAAAAGAAACGATTTAAACATCTACGCGATACAGCCCTCCCAACCGGACGAGCCGCCCACCCACAACATCATGGACACCCTAAACCCGCTGCAGCAAGTCCAAGACTACATTTCTGCGTGCGAGGCCGAAGCGAAATCGAAGAAAAACCTGCAGAAATTCGACGAGCTGATCAAGAGGAAGAACACGGCGCCGCCTCGCGTCGAGAAAAAAGTCGAGCAGTCCCAGGAGATCGATCTGAAGCAGTTTCAGCATCGCGCGGTCGTCGAGCCGTTGAAAAGCTACAACGAAGTCGAGAACCTTCTCAGGCCCGGATTGAGCGACATGCGCGCCGATAACGTCGACACCTTCGATCGGGGAAATAAAACCAGGAACAGCACGAGCGGCGTGCAGGTCAAGCCGAACGGCGCCGGCAAAATTCTAAGTAGGGCCGCCTCGGACGCGCAGGATCGCGTGCAAATTCAGCGAAAAAGTGCGGTCGTTAAGGTTAAGCCCAATCGAAATATCTCGCAGGATTCTCAGGTAGAGGGGATTATTTACGCTTGATTAAGTAACAACCACAATTAGTCATTAGATATTAGGTTCTACCCGCAAAACGTACTTGTAGGTTTCTAAAGGAAGTCGATATAAAATATAACCATCACCTTACTCGCTCTCTCTTCCATAATTCGACCGCCAAAATGATCAAACTTTTTTTTAACGTTTTTGCAGGAGGGTGTCGACAATTGGGTGTCGGATTCGCGCACGGTTCAACGAGTCGGGCCCGTCTCGATTCCGTCGTCTACACGTAATAGAACGCGGGTCGGAGAAGAACCAACCATAGGAAAGTATAAGCTACTTAAGACCATTGGCAAAGGCAACTTTGCCAAGGTCAAATTAGCCAAACATGTACCGACGGGGAAGGAGGTAGCTATTAAAATTATAGATAAGACTCAACTCAATCCTGGATCGTTACAAAAACTCTTTAGAGAAGTAAGTATTGACACGTGGCTGCAATACTTGCTGCAAGTTGCCAACGAAATGGCGTCTTGCATGCAAGATTTGCAATCTGTAAAATTGTGTTACGATAGTTAAGTGGTGACATCTACTGTCAGCTCAAAAAGTGTCTAGACTGATTTATTTTTAACGTTTGCCTGTTGTACGGTTTTCTGGTCCCAATTTTAAGACTGAAATTATTTTTTGTAGTTCTTCACGATTCACATTTCAAAAGGAACAGTTTCACATTGAAATTTTCAGCTTGAAATAATTTTTTGAGTAGTTCTCATATTATAATAAAAGTTTTTACATTGGAATGTGGAGCTTAAAATGTCCGTCGAGCTTCAAATTTGAAATTTTCTTTCAAGATTTGAGGTTGAAACTATTTTTTGTAAGTCTCTGTGGTTCACATTTTAAAGTAAAGAATTTCACATTGAAATTTGGAGCTAAAAATGTCCGTCGAGCTTCAAATTTAAAATTTTCGTTCAAGATTTGAAGTTGAAACTATTTTTTGTAAGTCTCTGTGGTTCACATTTTAAAGTAAAGAATTTCACATTGAAATTTGGAGCTAAAAATGTCCGTCGAGCTTCAAATTTAAAATTTTCGTTCAAGATTTGAAGTTGAAACTATTTTTTGTAAGTCTCTGTGGTTCACATTTTAAAGTAAAGAATTTCACATTGAAATTTGGAGCTAAAAATGTCCGTCGAGCTTCAAATTTAAAATTTTCGTTCAAGATTTGAAGTTGAAACTATTTTTTGTAAGTCTCTGTGGTTCACATTTTAAAGTAAAGAATTTCACATTGAAATTTGGAGCTAAAAATGTCCGTCGAGCTTCAAATTTAAAATTTTCGTTCAAGATTTGAAGTTGAAACTATTTTTTGTAAGTCTCTGTGGTTCACATTTTAAAGTAAAGAATTTCACATTGAAATTTGGAGCTAAAAATGTCCGTCGAGCTTCAAATTTAAAATTTTCGTTCAAGATTTGAAGTTGAAACTATTTTTTGTAAGTCTCTGTGGTTCACATTTTAAAGTAAAGAATTTCACATTGAAATTTGGAGCTAAAAATGTCCGTCGAGCTTCAAATTTAAAATTTTCGTTCAAGATTTGAAGTTGAAACTATTTTTTGTAAGTCTCTGTGGTTCACATTTTAAAGTAAAGAATTTCACATTGAAATCTGGAGCTAAAAATGTCAGTCGAGCTACAAATTTAAAATTTTCGTTCAAGATTTGAGGTTGAAATCAATTTTTTGTAAGTCTCTGTGGTTCACATTTTCAAATAAAGAGTTTCACATTGAAATCTGGAGCTAAAAATGTCAGTCGAGCTACAAATTTAAAATTTTCCTTCAAGATTTGAAGTTGAAACTATTTTTTGTACGTCTGTGGTTCACATTTTAAAATAACGAGTTTCACATTGAAATTTGGAGCCAAAAATGTCAGTCGAGCTTCAAATTTGAAATTTTCTTTCAAGATTTGAAGTTGAAACTATTCTTTTGTAAGTCTCTGCGGTTCACATTTTAAAATAAAGAGTTTCACATTGAAATTTGGAGCTAAAAATGTCAGTCGAGCTTCAAATTTGAAATTTTCTTTCAAGATTTGAAGTTGAATCTATTTTTTTGTAAGTCGGTGGTTTACATTTTCAAATAAAGAGTTTCACATTGAAATTTGGAGCTCAAAATGGCTGTCGAGCTCCAAATATGAATTTTTCTGTCAAGGTTTAAGGTTGAAATTGTTTTTTTAAGGTTCACATTGAAATTTACAGGTAAAAATGTGTGTCAAGCTTGAAATTTGAAATTTTCTTTCAAGATTAGAATTTGAAATTATTTTCTTGTAAGTCTCCTGTAGGTATTCATGGTGCACATTTGGAAGTAAAGGTTTTCACATTCAAATTTGGAGGTAAAAATGGCTATTAAGCTTCAATTTTGAAATTTTCTGTCAAAATTTCAGCTTGAAATAATTTTCCTTTAATTTTTGTATGGTTCGCATTTTCAAATAAAGAGTTTCAGATTTAAATTTGCAGTTAAAAATGGCTGTCAAACTTCAAATTTGATATTATCTCTCAAGAAATTATTTTTTTATGTTTCACATTTAAAAATAAAGGGTTTCACTTTGAAATATGGAGCTTAAATGGCTACCAAGCTTCAAATTTGAAATGTGGAGCTTCAAATTATGCAATTCATATCAAGGCCTCATCTTGAAATATACAGCCTACAGCCACTAAATCTGGCGCAACATATGTGAGAGAGATAGCCTACAGTAGAACACGGATCATGCGCACTGAGTTGTCAGTACAATTGACCCTCCTGGCATTTCAGTGGCGTGTTTTCTGTAGGGGGGTTTACAGTGTTAGTACAGTATAAAATACTAGTGGTCTTTCCGAAAGTAATGATTAGAATGCTGTTTAATTTGTGGTAAGTGACAAAATATGTACTTCGTAATTTAATATAAAGGGACCTCTTGCGCCGCCTATGGTTTTCAGCTGTTTACATTCGGATGCTATTGCGCATGTGCGGTGTTCTACTTAACGGTGCAAACTATATATGGGAGGTCCAGCCTCTCCATGACTCAAATTTTAAAATTGAGGACCACTAGATACTTTTTGCGCTGAGAGAAGTCCCCGCCTACTTTTTTTAGTTGGCAATTGTTACTTTTCTTTAATATACCTATTGAAATCGAATACCAAAGCAAATCCTTAACCTCAAATAAAATTTGTAGGTAAGGATAATGAAAATGTTGGATCATCCAAACATAGTAAAACTATTTCAAGTAATCGAGACCGACAAAACGTTGTACCTGGTGATGGAATACGCGTCCGGCGGCGAGGTGTTCGACTATCTCGTCCTTCACGGCAGGATGAAGGAGAAGGAGGCGAGGGCAAAATTTCGACAGATCGTTTCCGCGGTCCAGTACTGCCATCAAAAGAAAATTATACACAGAGACTTAAAGGCTGAAAATTTGCTACTCGACAGCGAAATGAACATTAAAATCGCCGATTTCGGCTTCTCCAACGAGTTCACGCCCGGCAATAAATTGGACACGTTTTGCGGCAGTCCGCCGTACGCCGCCCCTGAGCTTTTCCAGGTAAGGCGGTTGTTTAGTTTCGTCGGTAGATTATTATTAATTTTGTAGGGTAAAAAATATGACGGTCCAGAGGTGGACGTATGGTCGTTAGGTGTAATTTTATATACGTTAGTATCCGGTAGCTTACCGTTCGACGGTTCAACGTTAAGGGAACTGAGAGAGCGCGTGTTACGCGGAAAATATCGGATTCCATTTTATATGAGTACGGATTGTGAGAATCTACTCAAAAAGTTCCTCGTGCTGAATCCGGCCAAGCGGGCCAGCCTCGAGACCATTATGAAGGACAAGTGGATGAATATGGGGTATGTGGGGTCAGTTCGCTAATTTTCTTACTATTGATGTCGTTCTGTCGTCGATGTTGCATCTCTTTTGTACGTGATATTAGAGCATGTTGATGTTTCACATAATCGACATTTGTGTCAACTCATCTGTCAATTTTTTTAGTCAATCAAAATTGACAGATCTGATTTAAAACCCTACTCCGTGTACCTTCATTAACCTTGAACTTTTTAAGGTTTGAGAATGACGAACTGAAGCCTTACGTCGAACCTGAGCCGGACATGAACGACCATAAAAGAATTGAAGCTTTAGTGTGTCTCGGTTACAATAGGACGGACATTGAGAACTCTTTGGATTCTGCCAAGTACGACGACGTATTCGCCACGTACCTGCTTTTGGGAAGAAAGAGTACAGACGTGAGTGCCACCTGGTGTCGCCAGTATTTACTCATTTATCCCATTATTTTAGCCTGAGAGCGATGGCAGCCGCAGCGGCAGCAGTTTATCCCTGAGAAATATTTCCGCTCAGCAGGCGATCGGCGCTCCTCAGCCGACGGCGCAGAGTCCGTCGCACCGCGGCGTCCATCGTTCGATATCGGCGACGAACGCCAAGCCCAATAGGAGAGCATCTAGTGGAGGTATGGACATAAAAATATGGCCCTTAGATTTATAGCTGTGCTGGTCGTGAAGGGTGGGTCTGATTAGACAACTGATAATCCACTAGAAAACTCGGGAAAGGTTTTCCAGACTGTTCAAGGTTCTTTCTAGAGGCTGTACAGAAAGCTCTGGACAGCTCTACAATAGGCCTGTGTAAAGTCACTAAATATAGAAAGTACCGCAATCCATTGGGCTCGTGTGTTAGAGAGAAAACGCATGATTTTTGACCAAAAATGGCGGAAGTTACCAGATTCTGGTAACTTTAATGTTAGGGATTGTTCCACCTGTTTGGAGATATCTGTATATATTTTTATAAAACATGACAGTACTATGAAGTTAGGTTATAAAAAATGACAGCTATTCAGATTTTATTTGTCAATTGTTTTAAGTTGGCAGCAAATTTGCCCAAAAATGGCGGATGATTACAGTACTTTCTATATCTAGTGACTTTAGGCCTGGGGATCTCTGAAAAGCACTTTACATTCTTAGGTAGCTAGTAGAGTTCTGTAGGCCACCTAAATTTTGGGGTTTGACCAGCACAAATTTATAGATCGGCGATTGATCCGAAAGTGTGAAAGTAAATTTTAAAATTTTGACAGGTCCTATTTTAGGTGAAACCTTGCGTCAAGGTCCCCAACCTCAGGTTCCCGTACCGCAAACGAACAATCACCAGGGCTCCGGATTTAAGCGGCAGAACACCGTCGACAGCGCGACCATCAAAGAGAATAGCGCCCGAATAAACGCGCGGCCCGCCAGCGCGCAGCCGAAACCCGCGACTGAAAACAGTTAAGGGATTGTCGCGCGCGCGTCGGTTATTTACTGATTGTTTTTCGAATTTTTTAGGTATACAGAGTCCAGGTAAGCCTCGCACCGTTGCTAAGAATAATGCCGTAACGTCGAAACAACCTCTGACTTCAGGAGGTTCGGTTGGTCGACGGTCGACGATTAGTTACGACGCGAAGACCGCCAGCAATGAGAAAACCAACATGGTTGCCGAGATACCTGGGTAAGTTAAGAGTGCGCGCGCTGTCGTAGTACTGGTACTGCAGTGTGATAACTTTGGGGAAGTGGATTTTAGACAATTTTTTCGGTATTGCCACTAGTAGTGTTGATCACAGAGTTCTACTTCATAATTTCCCCAAAAGCCGCGGGGAAGGGGGGGGGGGCATTTAAAAATAATTTTTTGTCAATGGCTGGAAACCTTTCATGACAGTTGGTTTTTATGTATGGAAAATCTCTAAAATAAATTATGCTGTAAATATGGGGGGGGGGGGATACAGCATCAGGGGTTGATTGTACCTTGCTTTTGGTGGAGGAAAGTATTCCATACTCCTCGCAGACCCTCAGTATTATGTGCTCCTCCAAAACGTTCACTTCCTAGAACTGTATTGTATGGACACTCTTCCTAGAACAAAAATCATTTGCATAGTGACTGTTGTAAACGTTTTGGGGGGTGGGGAACACCAGTGGGAGTACAGCACATGAACGATCAATTTCTTTTGTCAAAAACTACTTACTTTCGAACAAGATTTATGAAATCTTTTTCCGTTAGGGGGGGGGGGCTTTGTGCTGCAGGGTATTATTCAAGACCCCCCCAGTATTATGTTTCCCCCAAAACTTTCCCTTTTTAAGTACAATTTTCATGTTCGAAAAATCGTGGGGCTGACCATAGCAGGGTGGAGGGGTCTGGGGGTATCGAATACCTCCCAGCACAGAAAGGATCGATTACCTTTTCTCAAAAATTCACTACAGTTTCTTTCGGAAAAGGTTTATCAAATCTTTTTTCTTGGGGGGTATGCATACTCCCCCCCCCCCTTCCCCCTACAATGTTTTCTCCAAAACCTTCAGTACTTCCAACTTTCATGCATGACAAATCTCCTTAGAAAATATTCATGTGGCATACCACACCATGACAGTATGTTGTCGTGAGATGATCAGTGCCCCCCTCCCCTTTTTTTTGGGTCCTAGAATATTTTATGTTTTGCATTTCTTTGGTTACCAAAAATCTTTCATAAGGCCTCCAACTTTGCGAATGAGTGGAGGGGATGGCTCAATGCATCTTAAATTTTTGTCCCCAATCTCGTCCTTTATCTGCCCCCCCCCCCCCCAATGTTTTCTCCAAAACCTTCAGTACTTCCAACTTTCATGCCTGACAAATCTCCTTAGAAAATATTCATGTGGCATACCACACCATGACAGTATGTTGTCGTGAGATGATCAGTGCCCCTCTCCCCCCACCCCTTTTTTTTGGGTCCTAGAATATTTTGTATTTCTTTGGTTACCAAAAATCTTTCATAAGGCCTCCAACTTTGCGAATGAGTGGAGGGATGGCTCAATGCATCTTAAATTTTTGTCCCCAATCTCGTCCTTTATCTGCCCCCCCCCCTCCCCCTACAATGTTTTCTCCAAAACCTTCAGTACTTCCAACTTTCATGCATGACAAATCTCCTTAGAAAATATTCATGTGGCATACCACGCCATGACAGTATGTTGTCGTGAGATGATCAGTGCCCCCCCCCCACCCCTTTTTTTTGGGTCCTAGAATATTTTATGTTTTGCATTTCTTTGGTTACCAAAAATCATTCATAAGGCCTCCAACTTTGCGAATGAGTGGAGGGGATGGCTCAATGCATCTTAAATTTTTGTCCCCAATCTCGTCCTTTATCTGCCCCCCCCCCCCCCCCCACGTACTTAATAACCGCGATAGTACATTTAATGTTGACTAGTTAAATATAAAACACGTATGTGATAATATTCTCATCATTTTCGTTTGTACAAAGGAACATTGCACGTATGTGGGAGGAGGGGGAGGGGGGGCATGTGTGTATGAACCAGATCAACATTACTAAGTGTGATGTAACATTCGAGTTCTCCCACTTTGCTTTATACTGTCTTGCTTTAAGCGCATCACACTGTAGAAATATTCTACTTTGCTTTACCTAATTTGAAACTAATTCTTTCATCCGCTATCGGCATGCGTAATAGGGGGGTGATGGGGGGCACGACGGACACGTTGAGGCCTAACAAGGGTCACGTGAAATCCGCCTCGGTTAGCAGTAGCACCGGTGAGCCTACCGCCGATCCCTTACGCTCTAGGTAGGTGTGTAGCGATTACGCAGGTTTTCGACAGTATTAACCGCATGCTTTTTAGACCAATCAAACGGATAGTTCTTGTGACTTACGTTTTACGCTTTACACGCACCCATCACACAATTGACTGTGCCGTCAAAATCATGGCAGTGACCTCGTAGCTTTGGTTCTCTTTTAGCAGTGTTGCCACATGTACAATAAAGCTACTCTTCAAGGTCAATTGCCGTGATTATGACGAATGCGCGTCGACGAACCGCTAACGCTAGGTTATTTCGACAGTCGAACTAGTGCCTCGCCAGCGTCGACGAGACTACCGGCATTCCCTCGCAATACGTCGTCCCGAAGCACCTTCCACTCCGGACAGACGAGAACGAGAGCGACGTACGCCTCCCCGGTGGACTCGCCGCACTCGGCCAGGACGTCGTTCTTCTCGAAGCTCAGTTCGAAATTTTCGAAAAGGTACGTACAATTCGCACCGACTTAAAAGCTTTCGACTAATACCGGCGCTTGTTTTTGTGTTTTAACAAACGTCTCTGAGTAAGGGGCGTGTTCCGCTTGGAGTATTAAAATTGAGACGAACTTTGCACCTTGTATAAGAAACTGAGCATGATTTTCTGTCGAACGTAAATAATGTCGGAAACCGTGTGCTTATTGTATTGTCTAATCATTTTAAGAGAGTGAGCCGAAGTGGACCCTTCTAGTTTGTCTTAAATGGTGACCAAATTTTATAAGAAAATCTGGCCGCTAGGGGGCGTTTCTCGAACTTGTCGAGTTCTTTAGTGACCCATAACCTATAAAGTAAAAAAACTAAACAACGCCCTCTAACGGTTTGACCATGAGTTCCCATAAGAAGGGACCCTACTTTGGCCTACTCTGTAAAGTGTGTCTTTTGCTCTACTGGGTTGATATACGGATTAATTATCTTCAATGTACACTGTATTAGGGTTGAAAAAACAAATGAGGTGTACTCTTGTAAACTATCGCTTTCTGTGTTGAACCACCATCCCTTGCTTTTAATGTACGTCACTCGCTACGCGATAATATTAAAAGGAAGGTATCGTGTTGTACTATCTTTTTTGTATGGGGCTTGTGTCTGAGTGTAGTGTGTGTGCGCGTGGTACGTCCCAATCGGCCATGCTAATTGCTCAAGATTATTTCTGGTTCAGGGCCGACCACTGAGGCCGAGGGGGCGTACCACAGCGCGTTGCCGACCGCAAGACCCGACGAGACCGCATCAACGGCCGATTAGAGAGGGAGCAGCGTAAGATTTGATGACGTTCAAATCGTATTATTATTATTATTAATTTTAAATGCGCATGCCGTGATTGTCCACTAACTTTTTTTTTGCATTTAAATCCTAAGTTTTCAGTATTTGAAAGTTTGTGAAAAAAGACTGAAAAAATGTAGTTAATTCTTAGACTATCAGAGGGTGTACAAAAAAGAGCCTTTATCAATAATTGTATTCAGCTTCCATTTTGTCTTCATCCGAATTAGTGCAATATATAACACTTTTCTTCCTACTTTTTAAAAAGTTTAGGTTTGTATTTCTTAGGGACTTCGTTGTACATAAATAAATGAATTTTTTATATCGATAGTAATTGATTGTACAAAGATTGCAGTTTTGATCGCGTACTAAGCTGTTACTTTAATGTAAATAAAACACTTTTAATATTTCAAATTGTTTTTTGTACAAGGTGGAGAGTGTTTATTAGTCCCTCACCGAACAGACTTCATTAACGACCTGCTATTCGCGATTCAGATTAACACTAGAGGCGCTGGTGTAATTACAAATGGCGTATATAGGTGGTGGTGTATTATTTAAAAAAAAATTAATGTACCCTGCCGTTTTTGAGACTTGATCCTATTTTTTAAGAACTCTGAAGCTGACTTGAATTAGCTTAAACAAGCAATTAACTTAATTTACAGGAGTGGAAAGTCGAAGTGAAGCTTCGGTTTTCCGCTCCTCAAATAGCAAACGCAAATTGTTAATTCGATTTTGATTTTTAATTTCATTAAAAATGACCCTATTTGGATGACATTCGCCGCTTCGCTTCCACGTGGTCGAACTTGGGGCGTTGCGGCGCCGGCTAGGGGAAGTAGGGCGATAGTTAACCGCAAGTTTGGCGAGGTTGAAAAAATTCCTACGGCGTCTGTTAGGGTAGCTGCCGTAAGAAGGAAAAAAACCGAAAATTTTTGAAAAAAATCCGTACGTCGAAAACGATGCGCAGTATCCAATTCCGTTTTTTTCGAGATCACGTGGAACGTGAAGGAGCGTATTTGTGCGGCGGTGGAATGCGCGGGAAAACTCAAATTTGGGAACTGCGCGACCCCGACCGCCCCTCTCAAAATGGGCGTTTTTCCATTTTGACGCCTTCTACAACCTAAACTAAAAAATTGCGCGATTGTGATGCGAGATCCTGCAAAAGTCGCGTGTTCGAACCCAAGTGCGCGCTTTTTTTTCTTTTCTATCAATTCATTTACGCTAAAATTTTTTTGCATTAATTATTTTAATTAAGAAGAACGACGACCCTCCCTCCCCCCCTACTTTTTTGACGGAAATACACGTTTTGGAGTACCGGAAACTTGAATCAATCGAACTCTGTCTGTCTGTACTGTTATTTATGGCTCAACAGCTTAACATATTCTTAGACATTAAAGGGCAGAATCACGCATGCGCAGAGGTGTGTGGGTGGTATCTGTGCTGGCCACAGCAAATTTGGTACCTAGGTATATGTATTAATGGGAAAAATTTACCATAATTACTTCTTCATTTAAGGCATCTGAGTCAAAGGAAATCGAATTGGAATTAACCTGTTGCGAGGGGTTGTTACCATTATGGTGAAATTGTGGTTTTCCGGATTTGGAGGGTCCATGTACGGGGGTCGGTACTTCCGGAATATGTGGCCGTTAGGGGTGCGCACATTTCGAATTTTTTTCGGTACGGCGCTACCGTCCGAGGAGGTAGCGGGAGGGTGCAAAGTGCACTTGGAAGGTCGTTTTTAGGTAAAATTCCAACTTTAAAGATTTGTAAGGGGCGAAGGGGGGCGATATGAAAAAATTTTACGTTGCGCGCGATTAGCCCGGTCCGTAATGCGTACGAATCCTACTGACGCGAAGCGGAGCGCGTACAAAAATTGCGCTTTTTGGGGGATCAAGGTGTTCCCAACAAAATTCGCGGCCGGATCGAGCGAGGGAGTCAACATTTTTGCGGAGCGTTTACTGTTCGGTGAGACATCGATCCCGCATCGTCAAAGTGTCGCGGGATCCTTCCGTCTAGGGGGGCAAGCGAGTTAGTTTAGTTAAAATATATTGGTGCTTCTTTGAGCCGAATCAATTTTTTTGCCTTTAAGAATATTCCAACGACGCTTAACCCAACCCTAATTACATTTTCACAACAATGAAGCAAAAAAATTGACAAACAAAAAACAATAGCAACCGGCGACTGCTAAGAAAAATGGTTTCTAACTACAAATAAAAATCCCAATTTCTATTGCGCTTGTACAGTTACAACAAATCGCCGACGTTCCTTTACGTCGATTTTGTTTTAAAACGGCCTTACTACTCGTGGCACAATTACACTGACCACAAATTATATGTTTGAGAAGGTTGTGTGTTCTGAGCGTAGTTACACTGATAGAAAGTTAGTCAAAGCGGAGTGTGAGTGTGTCAAAGAATGATTTATGTATCTCCTATTTTTTGCTATTGTGTAATTGCACTCTTCACAATTAAAAACTTTGGAAATGTCATGTGTTAGACGATGATTCTTTAACTTATCCTTATTCTTGGTTACTTAATTGCACTGATCACTTTTAAAATTCTTGAACGTAAATGTGATGCTTTAAACTGCAATGCAATTTTTGCAAGTGTAGTCACTTTTAGAGTCGTATATCCTACTTATCCCACCAATAGTAATTACAATATGCTGCCACCAGAGGTCTCACTGTTAATCTGAATCGCGAATAAACATGCATAACTGATGGGCCAAGTTAATGGAGCCCCGTTGAGTTTGTTAAAAATTGCAGGTGAGCTTCAAGTGCGATCTGTGAATCGTGTCGCATAACAGTTTTAAGTAATTACCGTCTTTTTTTCTCTCCAGGATATTTTTTTATTTCATCAATGAACGTTTTATTTTCAGAGGTTTAGAACCCGGTCAAACCGCCAGTAAACATGGCGCCTCACCTGTCGTAGGGTAAGTTGATAGAAATGCGCAAGGGCGTCCGTAGATTTATTCATTTTTTGAGTTAGAAAAATCGCTTCCAACGCCCGTCTTACCCCCGAAAGGTGTGGGTCGGAGCCATGTTGTCACTAACTTTTGTTTTTCGTTTGCCTCTTGCGCATATTATCGTAGCTCGCGTCGCCTGATCGCGTGCCCTTTGTGTGCTTGCAGGGTCGGCGTTGGTGGAGGCGCGCAGAACGACGAGCACGTGAAGCCGCGCTCGCTGCGATTCACGTGGTCGATGAAGACGACGTCCAGTAGAGACCCCTCCGAAATTATGGCGGAAATACGCAAGGTACTCGACGCGAATAACTGCGACTACGAGCAGAGGGAGCGTTTCTTGTTGCTTTGCGTGCACGGCGATCCCAATACGGATAGTCTCGTTCAGTGGGAGATTGAAGTGTGCAAGTTACCTCGACTTTCACTTAATGGTGTCAGATTTAAACGAATTTCAGGCGAGTATTTAGTTTTAAGTTTGATGCTTGTGCTTGAATGGGGAAATTAGTTCTGGTCTAATAAATCCATATGGCGTTACCGTGTAATCTGCATAAGATTTCATTTTCCCAATATTTGAGGTTAGGAACGAGATTTTGAAGAACGGTTTTCACTGGCCTCTTTGGATGTTATTTGGCTACTTTTTCATAAAGAAAAAGTCATATTCCATTTGATTTTTTTAGGATTTCGGGTCATAGTGTCAAAACTAGCCCCCTGGCGGAAAAGGTTTCAACTAAATTAACTATATTGACTTCTTAACAGTTTGACCGATTGTAACAAATTTGGTATCGTTGAAAAGAGCATTCCTTGGGCAACAAGAAGACTCTCATTGCCCAAGGAATGCTCTTTTCAACCATACCAAATTTGTTAAAATCGGTCAAATGGTTAATAAGTTAAAGCAGGTTATTGCAAAAACAATTGAACGCCCCACGCCATCTTTGTTTTTGAAATAACTGAGTTCTTACTTTTACGAAAATGATAGACTGGTTCTCTTTGAAAATGTGAAAAATAATTTTTTAGTTTACTATCCAAATTTAAATAAAATGCAATTTTAAAATTTAAGATGTCAGTTACGCCCTCTATTGGTCATTTTTAGAACTTGAAAATATTTTCCATCGATTCTTCATGACCGGTTCATCCAATAATTTTTTTTTACCCCTAAGTCATATGACGAAAGGTTCTCAAGATATGGCCGAGGAACAGTCCTATTGGGTCACTCGGTACATGAGGGTGACTGATTAAGAAAATAAACTAAATTTGTCTTATTGCAGGTACAAGTATCGGATTTAAAAATATTGCTAGCAAGGTAGCAAACGAACTAAAGCTGTGACTGCCCGTCAGCGGGCCGGACGTTTCTACCGAGCCAATGTAACTGAGAAGACCATCATCGTCGGTGAAGAAGAGTGTCGACAAAACAAAACAACCACTACCGCTTTGCTGCTGTCTTTTGGTACTACTAGAATAAATTACCAGACGGGTCATCAACCTTTCTTTTTTGTACGGACCAAAAGTGTGAGGGTTTTGCAAGTATTTTCAATTGTTTTAAGCTCGCGTATTAATTTATATATTCGGCACAGCTGAATCATGTGATATGTGGGTGTTATTAACGTCTGCCTACTAAGATATTATGTCTTCAAACTGAAAGTGCGGACTTTTGTTCCTTTTAGAAGTTCGTCTCATCTCACCAACTGTAAATCTTCCCGAATGAACACCGCAATTACTATTTCATTATAGAAGAGGACAGAATTTTGCCAAAATCGTGTTTGTTATTTATATGCATAATGTTTGGCGACGAGTATTGTCAATATAAGCGGGTTTGGTAAACTTGTCTATTTATTTATCGGCTTGTACAAACAAGTTTACTTTTCCTGTTTGTTATTTCGTGCTTTATTAAGGCATGTGTTGTATGTGTATATAAAAAAACTGAGTTTTACATGAGTGAATGGTTCCTTGTGTGTGCATTTCGTATGTTGGTTGTTATTACGTATAGTGCCGCTTTTAAATTTGGTGGTACTTACATAGCGTTAAATTTAATGTGAATTGTACATATTTAAATGGTTCGAATAATTACGATTAAAAAAGGTTTTCGTTAGGTCGAAAAAGATATTTGTTTTATATATATATATATAAATGTATACATATTATATAATAATTAAACTAGCAAATTTAAATGCGGCTTAGGTTTACATATTGATAATGCAGGTTCATTTAAAAATGTCAGATCTGTTATGCGTGTACTTAGATTATTGGCTATCCCTATGCGTCTCTCTGCTTTTCCACGTTGCACGTTTGTGCATATTTCTTGCGACAAAGTGCTCAATATGCTTTAATATGTGATAATGTTTTTATTTTTTTTTTAATGAACACTTAACAAGATGATGTTTAATTTTTAGCGACCTTTTTTTTTATTATTTAGCTCCATGCAACCGTGGACGAGAGGACAACGCATTATTTGATGAAAAAAAAAGAGAAAACAGTCACAATACGTAGTTAAAGTATATTTAATTGTTAGAATGACAGTATAGATTAGAGAAAATACACTGTAAAATAAGAACATGTTGCTTTCCTTAATACTACTACAATAATTTCACAGGGGATGGGCACTTTTATGTTAGTTAAAGCTACTGATCATTTATAATAAAAAAATAAATCTCAGTCTTATTTCTTACTTGTACATTTTGCGCTTTCTATGTTACAAATAATTTGTATTTTAACCAGATGTCTTAACTATCCTTAATAAAAGGGTTCATTTAAGAACCCACGCTACAAGGTATCCCAACAAAAACGTCTACGCCACAACAAACCAATCCTTTTTAATACTATCGTCATTCGGGAACCAAAATAACGTATCACTTGAAAATCGTTTTAATCCATTAGCTGTGGCACATCCAACCACAACACCGCATTTTGTTGAAAACCTAATTCACAAAAAAGAACCCTACATGCTTGACAGATATTTAATTGTCTGACATTGATCGGTTGAAACAGGGCCAAAAACTTACCAATGCATCTTTCAATTTTTACCCTGGCTGCTGATTGACTGATTATAATTCTTTTGCGCCACTGTAAGGTAGCCATTGCCCTACTGAAGGGCCCAACAAACACCTTTAAAAAACGTTTTAAAGCACTTTGAAAGGATAAATTCGGTATTGGTAGTATGATATACGTTTTTTTATAGATCAATACTCTACGTTTAAAATACGATTTTTATTCATATATATAAACCACAGCGTTTATCTCCACGCTAATAATATGTTTATAAATAAGTGTTCTTTTAGCAACAATATAATTTACATTTTGTCTACATTTTAATTTTGTTTTTTTAGATATAAATTTCATTATTTTGTTATTTAAGATTTTGAGTTTTTTTTGTTTTTTTTTTCTTTTTTCTAAATAATTGCGCGTTATCTACCTATTGATTATGTATTGCCCTGTAATTGGAATATTCTGTTCTGTTGGGCAATAAATCTATTAACAATAAACACCACTTAGGTTTACCATACGAGAATATCTCCAAAATGCGAATAAAAATTAGGTATAGTATAGTACATATTGTTTATGTCATATTTCTATGTTAAAAGAAACGTTGAAAATAAGTAGATAAATAAGCGTTTTCGTATATAATAATACGTTTTTAATTTATCGTATACTGGAATATTGGTTTGCTTACTTGCTCTACAAATACTAATATACATGTCATGAGACGAATTCTACTGAAATTGGTGCAAGGAATACGTACTTTATATGATATTGTCTCGTGTTATATACAACCGTTTTATGTGTATACCTATGACATTTTAAAACTGCTTATTTTGCACATTCTCACGTATGCATTTGCATATGAGTTGTGTGATAGTACGCAGCAAACGTGTAAAAAACGATTTTAAAGCGCTTTGATTGGATAAATTTGGTATTGGTATGTTATACGTTTTTGTATAAACGAATTTTATAGCTACGTTTAAAATACGATTTTTTTCATATTTATAAACCAAAGAGTTCACGTTCTACGTTAATAATGCGTATATAAATAAACCGTTTTTTAGCATTCGTTCGATAAACGTATATAATACTACTTTAATATACGCATATAATTCGTATATCAATGAGAAATAATAAACGCATAATATTCCTATACAAGAATGTAGAAATATCCGTCGGACATTTATGCATATTATATACTTAGGGTTTGAAACGCTTTTTATAGGGTAAGTTGACAATAATAATAGGTATATATATTCTGATATTCATCTTTATTAGGACGCAGTAAAGCAGTATTCGCTGGACGGGAACCTGCATCGACCGCGCAAAGTTGGCTACATACTTCAACAGATCATAGTTTAAACTTGTCTTTTTTTTATCCTGCCGAGGGACGCTTATTCAACGCTACCCGGCGCCTCTTATGTATGCAAAGACTGCAAGAATTGAAAACGGCGCTTCTTGGAGGCGAAGACGCCTACAATCTCAAGGTAACTGTAATAATACTTTGAACATGTTTTTTTTTTGGGCACGCTTCTTCGACCTCAACTGGCACTTTATATGTATGCAAAGACGGCAAGAAAATGACGCATCTTGGTAACGTCTACAAACTTACAGCGCGTACCTACCCGTATGGATGCTCAGGACGCCTAAAAACACGACTTACCGATGCAAAGACAGCAAGAATATCCAGGTTTACAAATAAGCAATGAAGAAAATCATGATGGACTTTGCAATTCTTATGTGCTTTATAATTCAGGCCTTTTAATTTCATTAAATATACAATCTCCTAAGGATATTACTACATATTCCACATGCGAAATTTAAACGTATTCAGTAAACGCATATAAATCGTATATCAAGGGGAATAATAAACGCATAATATTCTACAAGAATATAGCAATACATGCCTGACATTTATGTGTACCATATACCAGTATACAGGGTGTCAATTTTAAAGCTAGCAGTCGGCAATATTTTCCAAACTAAAGAAGATATTGAAAATCGCCCAAAATCTTTTCGGGGGTATCGAGGAGGAACCAGAATGACGTTATGAGTGACAACTCCCCACCCCCCTTAACCCCCCAGCTGCCCTTCTTCAAAAATCCTAATTGGCAACCCCCTACTTGTGACACATCGTTGGAAAGCTACTGAAAAATGCTTTCCAGTGGTACCAATAATTTCAATTTTTCAGTAGCTTTCCAACGATGTGTCACAAGTATGGGTTTTTTGAAGAACGGAAGCTGGGGGGTGGGGGTTGCCACTCATAACTTCATTCTGGTTCCCCCTCGATACCCCCGCAACGGTTTTGCGCGATTTTCAATATCCTCTTTAGTTTGGAAAATATGACCGACCGCAAGTTTTTAAATTGACACCCCGTATAATTACGTTTTTTTACGTAGGGTTTTAGTCTACTATTTTCACAAGAGGACCATTGCACCTTCAGATGTTGGTTCCAACCCCCCCCCTCCCCCTTCCTGCACAGTCATGATATTGGTTAAGGGATGTAATATACCTTCGCAGGAATAGAAAAATCCAATTGCCGGGCCGTGCGGCGTAGTTGAGTTGAAGCTCGAGTGCGGTACTAAGGGGCCTGGTTCGAATCCGGGTTGGGTTGGTAGAGCAGCATTGGTTGAAACCCCGCACACTTAAAAATGAAATCCACAATCAATTAATTAATACATAAATCCATAATCTTTCTTCAAAAATTATCATGAGGGAACTCAGTATTCTAAACGTTTTGGGGAAAAAATTAGTACCGGAGGGTTTACCCCCAGTAATGGAAACACCTGGTATTACCCCAATGATTATCTTTAAGACTTGTTCACAGTTATGGTCATTTTCACGTGAGGACCATCGCATCTTCCGTTGCTGGGGGGTATACCATACGCCTACAGACTCCCCGGTTCTATGCTCTCTCCCAAACTGCTTTGCACACTCCTCACGGTCATGATATTAGGCTGGGGAATGCAATATACCTCCGCAGATACGGTAAAATAGCTGGTCTTCTGGCGAAGTTAGCACGGGGGGGGCGGGAGGGGGGACAGAAAAAATGGAAAGATACATTATCCTCGAACTCTCACTCACAGTAATGTGGTCATTATCGGGGAAGGCCCATCGAATCATCCCTTGCTGGGGGACATTCTATATACCTCCCGACCACACGGTTCTCATGTGGTTCCATTATAAGTGTAGGTACCTATACCAATTTATGCTAGAAAGTTAATTCGGTTGTTAATGTAAGATATTTTGGTATTCCCGATTGATTATATGAGAGGCAGATTATTTGAGATTTGTATGGTTTTTGAGGTTTGTTGTAGGAGGTGAGGCTAAACGCGGGCCATGTCTACAATTTTATGTAATTGAGTGAGTCGAAATTGTATTGCATTCTGTTCTAAAATTATGGGAATGGAAGCTACCTCGGCTTCGCCTCTCGTTCATTATTTATTTTATTTATTTATTTATTATCCCTCTCTTGTTGTGGGCCCTCAACAGGCTTGTGCCCAATTACAGAGTGACCCGCATAATGCTTTTTAGAGGTGTCTCTGCAGAAGGTCTTAAGTTGTTCTATACTACTCCGGTATTTAACTTAACGTTTTAAGAAAACTGCAGGAAAATCTAATTCGGAGTAGCCGGCAGAATGCTCGAACTTGTCTAAGGTAATTTCCATCTCTGCCACAGATGAAAAATTCACCTCAACCCAGGTTCGAACACCCGACCTCCGGATTTATAGACCAACGCTCTACCACTGAACCATAAAGCAGGGTGTTTATGTGTTCCTGATGGTAGCCAATTTTGCATCTGCGACATTGCGTATTAGGAAGAGGTACACCTCCTCGCCATTCATATTTTCCTGATACGAGATTGAGAAGAATTTAAGCCAAAGAAAGATTCGATAGTCTTCCCGCGAAAATGACCATAACTGTGTGAGAAACTGAAGATGCGATGGTCTCTCAATGTCAGTGACCACAAAGACACATTACAGCCCGGAAGGAAGAGGCTGTCTTGAAAGATGTGTCACTGCAGCATTGTGTTGCGACGATGCCAGAGCGGGACGAGGTCAAGCCGAGGCGTACGTCTTGGGCCCTTTTGTCTTGAGGAAACGATGACGGACGACCCGCCGGTAATCGAGAATCTCAAATCGGCGACCGGTGGGTTTGCAGGTCACGGTACGAGACGTCACGAAGTCGTTTCGAGAGCCGCCTTCCGGGTTGGATACGAGACGTAATCCTGGAGGAGAACCGATCCGGAGTGTTCGTAGGATCCGTTAGACCGAGCCGAGTTTCCAAGACATTAAGGCTGAAGACCGCCATTCGCGACGAGTCCTGAAAAAACCGCCTGTGATCCTTGAGCGATGAGGATTGCTCCATGTGGAAGATGACAAGGGTGCTGCGTCGCTCCCCAATGATATCGTTCCCGCTACACGGAGTCAGAGGACTGGTGTATATACGGACACCGAGAAGGTCGACGCCTTTGCAACGTTTTCTCCCAACTACGTTAAAGCGGACCTGGACTTAATCGGCGCCGTCAACCGAAGGGCCAGGAGAGCGATGCGTCTTAAGTTTCCGACGCTATCAAAAATCCCTCAACACGGTAAGAATTCTCGCTTTCATTCTGATCGCGATGCTAAGACTGCGACACGTTCGGTGGAAACGTGCCGACGTATTTATGTTACAGAAACAGTTATAGTCCACGACGTTCCCACAGAACTACCGCTCGATCAGCCTGCTGTCGACGATCGCCAAAGTAGCGGAAGCAGTGATCTTAAGGAGGCTGCGGGACCAAACGACGCGGCATTCAAGACGAGCAATTCGGATTCCGGAAGGGCCACTCGACGGTGCACCAAGTGCTAAGAACACGCGACAGAAGGTTTCAGCCGCGAACACAAAGCAAAGGTGGGAGTACCTCAGGGATCCCTGCTCTCGCCGTTGCTGTTCCCTCTGTGCGTTCGGGCCGAAGACGCGGGTCACCACCTTGGCTCTCTATGCGGACGAGATACACCAGATGGAGGATCGCCGTCAACACCGAGAAGAGCTCGGCCGTCCTTTTCACGAAAAATGCCATTCCGTGGAGGACCGAAGCGAAATTTCTACCATTCGCACCGGAGGTAAGCGCAAGACGCTAACCTTGTTATTCAATAAATTCGTCGCAGATTCCGAAGAAAATTGTGCGCCGTTCTAACCTATCACAGCTTTTCACCATCAGTGGCACAACCCATAAAAAAACAATAAATAGAGAGCCTATGACATTCCTATATAGAAAGTACTAGCGATGGTGGTAGGATTTTAATCCCGATCTGTGATTTAATTCACTAATTTACTGTTTCTAGAAATACACCATCTTCTTACTACCTAAATCAAAGGTAAACAAGGCGGTGGAAAGCACGGAGCAGGAAGAGCAAGGAAGTGAAGTATTTGTAGGTGTAGGATTCTTACGGTAAGTACGAAGAATTAATACACGTATCAAACCCTAGCAAAAAACTTGTATGCTTTAATAGATGTAGATTCGACATTTTAAACTAAAAGAATCCAGCCCCAGGATGGGAGACTGCTCCCTCGTTCGGGGTATTGTAGACTACTGGCGATTTTTTGAGTAGTAATTGATGTGTATTACCATTTTTGCTATCTCTGTGCTCAATGCGTGACAATTGTTTCAAATAATTTACGTCGTCCCGTGTAGAGGCGAATGCGAGTTTACAAAGTAGCAAATCACGATGAAAAAGCACACAATTAATGGCAAAATCTATGAGGATTTGCCGTAAATAAAAGCGATTTTTCATCTTCATCCTTGTTGATCACCAAAACTGACAGAGATATATACTTAAGAAAGATACAAAAATGACACATGATATTTCATTGTCGTGTTACTTCTGTTACAATACTCAAACTGAGTCGATAGTGACATTTGTTGTGTGGGTAAACGTATACGCTAATGTGTTTACTGTATACACTGGCAGCACTACGGTTTAATGACTATGTTTTATTATATTATACTTGCTCAGTAAAGTGCCCTCTTGAGCATACGTACAACCAAACTCACATGTTTGCCTTATATTATGTTTATTCCAATGTATGCCATGAAGTTAATTCATTCAGTGATTGTATTGCAATTTGAGTTCTCGGTTACAATACTTATTTACTCGACTGACTTCGACAATAATCAAGATGCAACTCAAGTCACTAATCTAAGAAGTTCCTTTATTACGTTCATATGGCCAGCAACGCAGCGGTAAAGGGCTGCGGACGCAGGTGCCCCTTTTGCATGGTCACGTAGAACCATAAATTGTGAAATTAGAATGACAAGGCGGCTATTTTCTTTTTGAAACCACTAAATTTAGAAAGGGTACGGAGGTCGTATTGGAACATCAATAATCTCAGGGGGTCCTTTAAGATCCCCATTCCCCCACTGTAACAAAAGGTGGCCATGAAGATGTAGGTGGCTACGTATTTAAAGTTGTCTGTGCGTCAGGCGTTTAGAGATCCGGCCATTTCGACTTTCTCTCTTTCATCATCATCAGTTATCGCACAAACTGCAAAATTGCGCTTTGCCATCTTGAAACTATTCCGCAGTTTTAAGTTAATGTACTGCAAGCTTCCATCCTTCCCTGGAAATTCGATAGTGAAAAACCGATTACGGCACAATCCGGCACCAAAAATGAATTTATAAAATATTCATTTCTGGACCACCTTCTTCTTGTTATTGTTATTAATTTAGGCTCGTAAGTAGCTTACATGGAAACTTCCTCATTTTTTTCGTCCTCCTTTTGCCAACCGTATAATTACAATATACAGTTATGGATGATTCGGCAGTATATTTTCTAATTAATGCCGGAATACGACGATAGATTCGATTATTATTTCAAGTAAATCGAGTGCCGGGCGACGACGGAGGAGGAAAATCGAAGACGCGTGGAAAATTTGCACGAAATTTAAATTTTGGGGTCTTTTAACGCGCCAGGTACGTGCATGAATATTACATTTTTTTTACGTTTAATTACGTGGATTCAACTTTTTCTCGAGTAGAATTTTCTCAAAAACTTTAAATGGGTCTCGATTAAAAAATACTAACCAGTGGCGTAGTCAGAGAGAGGACGAGAGCGCCAGATTCTTATCAGATGCAAGACGATGCTCCCAAAGAACATTTAGAGATCTTTCGAGTCCCTTGCTACACCTCCCCCTCCAAATGGCAGATTCGATGGTCCTCCCGCAAAAACGACCATACCTGTGAGTGACAGTTCTAGGATAATTTTTGGGGTAAAACCATCTACGTTTCCATTTACTGGAGAGTATTCTATACTTTCCCTCCCCCCTTAGACCTCCCGAAGCAAATTCGTGATATTGTTTTACTGGAGATTTTCGGTTTTGCGGGGGGTCTTGTACGTCCTCCAGTCGATATCATGACTGGTGCGTGCTGTAAGCACCGGGGGGTCTGGGGGGGGGGTATTGGGGGTATTCCATACCCCCCAGTAACGGAAGATGCGATGGTTCTCTCGTGAAAATGACCATAACTGTGAGTGAGAGTTCTAGGATAATCTTTGAGGTAAAACCATCTACGTTTCCATTTGCTGAGCGGTATTTCATACCCCCCCAGGCCCCCCGGAGCTAATTTTTCTCCAAAAGCTAGAACATTGACTTCTTTCATGATACTTTTCTAAGAGAGACCATGGATATTTCTATTTCTGCGTGGGTGTGTCGCATACCACAGGCAATACCATGAATGGCCCGTGTTCTAAGCATTTTTAGCGACAATGTATACTTAACCGGGGGGTCTCGGGGGTATGGAATACCCCCCAGTAACGGAAGATGCGATGGTTCTCTCGTTAAAATGACCATAATTGTGAGTGAGAGTTCTAGGATAATCTTTGAGGTAAAACCATCTACGTTTCCATTTGCTGGGGGGTATTTCATACCCCCCAGGCCCCCCGGGGCTAATTTTTCTTCAAATGCTAGAACTTTAACTTCTTTCATGCTACTTTTCCAAGGGAGGCCATCGATATTTCTATTTGTAAGCATTTTTAGCGACAACGTATACTTAACCGGGGGGTCTGGGGGGTATGGAATACCCCCCAGTAACGAAAGATGCGATGGTTCTCTCGTGAAAATGACCATAACTGTGAGTGAGAGTTCTAGGATAATGTTTGAGGTAAAACCATGTACGTTTCCATTTGCTGGGGGGTATTTCATACCCCCCCAGGCCCCCCGGGGCTAATTTTTCTTCAAATGCTAGAACTTTAACATCTTTCATGATACTTTTCCAAGGGAGGCCATCGATATTTCTATTTCTAAGCATTTTTAGCGACAACTTAGCCGGGGGGTCTGGGGGGTATGGAATACCCCCCAGTAACTGAAGATGCGATGGTTCTCTCGTGAAAATGACCATAATTGTGAGTGAGAGTTCTAGGATAATCTTTGAGGTAAAACCATCTACGTTTCCATTTGTTGGGGGTATTCCAGGCCCCCCGGAGCTAATTTTTTCCAAATGCTAGAACATTAACTTCTTTCATGATACTTTTCTAAGAGAGACCATGGACACTTCTATTTCTGCGTGGGTGTGTCGCATTCCAAATGCTAGAACATTAACTTCTTTCATGATACTTTTCTAAGAGAGACCATGGACACTTCTATTTCTGCGTGGGTGTGTCGCATACCACAGGCAATACCATGAATGGCCCGTGTTCTAAGCATTTTTAGCGACAATGTAAAACCGGGGGGGTTTGGAAAACCCCCCAGTAACGGAAGATGCGATGGTTCCCTTGTGAAAAGGATCTATGTTTCCATTTGTTGGGTGAGTCTTCCATACCTCCCCCCCCCCCCGAGCTAATTTTTTTCCAAAACATTTACGACTTTGCTTTCATGGTAATGTTTTAAGAGAGACTTTCGAATTTTCTGTGATTGTATGGGGCGCGTTAATCCCTTAAGTAATATCATGACTGACGGGTCAGCATAGAACTGGGAGGTATGGAATAACCCCCAGCAAGACTTTTTGGACCCTGCACAAAACAATGATTTATTAAAATGTGGCTTTGATTTTCTATTTTGTTAAATAACAACATGGCCCATAAGTTGATCTGTATAATTATATGGGCACCAGCTTTCTAAGTTCTTTAGTTGATGAGGATTACTAGTAAATCGGCATTCGACTACAGAAACCAGTCTTTATTTATGGAAATCTTCAATGAATTTTATTTCGAACGAAGATTATTAATTTAAATCTCGTAATTTACGGCCACTATTAATTAATTAATTTATTATTCGCAAAGAATTGAGAAATTCAAAAATTATGTGGCGCTCGTCGAATTCGCAATTGCCACTTTTTACTTACCGAACTTGTGGCACGCGCCGCTTAATTGAGTATAAAAATTGTCACGAGAATAATTAGCACCCTACTTATGTTGGAATCGCATTTAGATCTGCAGATAGCGTAAATTGAATAAAAAGCAGGTGTCGCACCTTGTCCCCCTCGTTCCTCGAGATCGCGATAGCAGTAGAAATGAGTACTTATAAAAGAATAAATATTTTATTGATAGTCTTTGGCATTAACATACTTTTTTTGGTCAGCTTATTTACAATGCGAATGAAATTTGCATAATTTTCATTGGGACTAGATTACACGAACTTAGAAAAAAAAAGGACTCATCTGTTCGCCTCGTCGTCGAGAAGCTTCCTCAGCGCCGAGATGTAAGTCTGGGCCATTTGGAGCGTTTCGAATTTGCTCAGTTTGTGATCGGCGTCGAGGCTGGGGATGACTTTTCTGAGGCGATCGAACGCCTCGTTCAGGCCGTTCATTCTTCGTCTCTCGCGAGCGTTCGCCGCCAGTCTTCTTCTCTTGAGGATCGTGGGCGATGCCGCTCTGTCGCGCACGATGCCTTTCTTCCGTTGTCCTCTCGCGCTTTTTCTCGTTTCTTTGGCGAAGTGGAGGTTCTCGTAGGAGGGCTCGCTGAGCGAGCTCGTCGATATGAAGCTGTCGTAGGTGTTGACGTCGTAGGTGTCTGGGGGGTGATGGTCAAAGTGAAGATAGGGTTGCGCTTGATTCACCTGTGGGGGCGTCGCGTAGGCCTCTTCGCCCGTGTACAAGAAGTAGGATTGCATCACTTCCATCATGGCACATAATCACCGTTTCACTTTCACATGTTGTCCACCAGCTCGAAGGGTTAAATGACCTACACGGAAGTCGGAAGGTATCTGATAGCGCGAGGGATGGGCCTGACCTGCACCAGTTAGTGTCGCGTGCGGCACCTCCAGGGACGGCTCCGCGCCGATTTTACACAAGACAAACGGGCCCCCGTCGGTTTTGCAACCCCTACACGTACGCGAAGAACGCCGGCGAGTTTCGAACCGTCACGCCGCTTGCCCGTTTCAGAACTGAGGAAAACGCAATCGGTTCCCAAACTCAAATTACGTCCCTGTTTAAGCATCTGCGAACGATTGTATACTTTTCGGCATTCTTTTACAAAAACACCTTCTGTTGCGCGCACGTGCCACCGCAGTCCGGGGGTTATAAAAAGCGGAATATCTGTATGTCTGTGTAGAGGTAGCATAAAGTCCATTTTACCTTTACAGGTAAGTTAATGAGAGTGACAGATGCCGCAATTAACCAGAGAGATGTTCAACGTGATTAGATCGCCAGCTCGATTACATGAATATGTATATTTAATTCCTATTGCCGCCTTGTTCTTATTCGTTATCTTTTTGATTAATTTTATAAATTAATGTCTTTACAAACGACCGTTGGCACTGAATTCGAAATTACTTGCGTCGAACGTTTCAGTTCAATGGAAAATCGTACGCCAAACAACAGGTTTCGCGCTTTATCGAGCGTTAAAGTCACTGTAGCTTTTTCCAAACATCTCAGTAAAATTGGCCCAAAATGCCAACTTTCTACAAGCCTTACAGCATCGTCACAGTGAAAATTCCCTATCTCCTTCATCTATCTTCTTGTGGTATTCGGAAAAGATATGCTTATCTTTCCACAGTCTCCCCCCGGTACTGTAATCTCTACAAAGCATTAAAGAGACTTATGGTAGAACGTAGTACCGAAGGGTTTGGGGGGTATTGAATGCCCCCTAGAGGAAAATACTTCAGAATAAGATTGCTCCTCACCTTTCTCTTAGTGGTATTTACCCCCCCCCCCCCCCCCAGCAAATTACTCTCTGGGATAGGAGAAATCGACAACCAATTTCCTATTACCCCCATCATGGAATATCCCCCAGAAAAAATACTTCCGAGGATTGGAGGGCTCGACACCAGCTCCAAGTTGGAGAAGAACGTAGCACCGGGCGTAGGTGCTTTCCAGAAGAACTGAAAAGCAAGTAAAGTTTTGGGGGGTATTCCTGGTGCTATGGAATATACCCTCCGGAACTTTACTTGTTGTACAGTTCTTCTTTCTTCTACAACAGGAGCTAGTAACTAGGAGCAGTAGGTAGTGAAGCCGGGCAAGGCAAGGTTAGGGGGTCAACTCTTTCTCCTTCTGTTTTCTACAGGAGCTTGATATAAATAATCCTCCCATCCTCCTCAATATCAACCTTAGGTACTATGGAAAAGGCCGAGGGCCTACAAGTTTGGAATGAACTGACTTCCTCTGCTCAAAACTAATCGGTATTTCCGCTGAAAATTGGAGTGATCTTATTACCACATTCGCTGCGTAACAGCATCTACGGATCTATCTTCGTGAAGATCCAGATAAAATCGCCCTAATTTCTCTACCATAGAGATGCACATATAGAAACCTGATTGGTTGTTGTAAATCGTAAACCTTAATTTGACAATTTTATTACCGGTTATAAACGGTATAACCGTACGAAAAAATGTCAATTGACTTTCACTGTAAATTTTATGGATAAACGCGTATTCGAGTGGGAGTTTTCGCACCTTCGAATATTCATCGATCAAAGTAAAATGGGGTGAAATCCAATATAAATATGTAAACAAGACGCGTTTTTTTTTTATTCAAATCGAACGGGTATTGATCGATCTTCGCTGTTGAATGTCGAAGCTGAAACCATGACGATCCATCAACAGTTTACGAGGAATCGATAATTCGTAACGGTATTTTCGAAAATTTTCGCATGTCATTGTCTAAACGCACTCTAATCTAATTAGGCGAATTAATTCGCTGCCGGTGTTGAACGCCTTTGAACTTAATGAGTCTATTGAAGGATTCGGAATATTAGGAGCAGATTTATGTATGCGTGTCAGAATTTTCTGCGGCCACAAAAGGTCTACTTAGAACGGTAGTTTTCTTTTCTATTCATGTCGAAAAATAGAACAGTAATTTTGTTTATGTTGTTATTCGTTTTGTAGAGGTTGTTGTAATTATTTCTTGGGTCAAAAAAAAGCGCCGACGTGCAAGTCACTAACGAACTCGTCTTTCGGACATCGGCGAGAGAAAAAAAATTGCTCCTCGTTTAGAAATTGACCGCAATTAATTACCTTACGCCCTTAATATGCGACCACTACACTCACTTCGAAGGTTCCCAACTTCCTCGGACATTGTTTTTGGTCTTCCTGCGAGGACTTTGGTTTCTTGGTCGGAAAGACCGAATTTCCAAATAATTCTCAATTTGAAAATAACAAGGGGTGACTTTTTTATGTGCACTTGGAGGGTTGTTTGTAGACTACTTAAACAAATTCAGGCAAAAACCCCGACAGCATTACAGAAGTTACACCCTTCTCAATACAAACGGAATTAATCAGTAAGACCGAATTTATAAAAAAAATTCTTAATTCGAAAATAGCAAGGGGTGACTTTTGTATGTGCACTTGGAGGGTTGTTTGTAGACTACTTAAACAAAATCAGTCAAAAAACCCGATAGATTTGGGGCACTACAAAAGTTACACCCTTCTCAATACAAACGGGGTTAATCAGTAAGAACGAATTTCTAAAAAAAATTCTTAATCTGAAAATAGCAGGGGGTGACTTTTCTATGTGCACTTGGAGGGTTGTTTGTAGACTACTTAAACAAAATTAGTCAAAAAACCCCATAGATTTGGGGCACTACAAAAGTTACACCCTTCTCAATACAAACGGGGTTAATCAGTAAGACCGAATTTCTAAAAAAAATTCTTAATTTGAAAATAGTAAGGGGTGACTTTTGTATGAGCACTTGGAGGGTTGTTTGTAGACTACTTAAACAAAATCAGTCAAAAACCCCCACTTGGAGGGTTGTTTGTAGACTACTTAAACAAAATCAGTCATAAAACCGATAGATTTGGCACTACAAAAGTTACACCCTTTCTCAAACAAATCGGGGTTAATCAGTAAGACCGAATTTCTAAAAAAAATTCTTAATTTGAAAATAGCAAGGGTGACTTTTGTATGAGCACTTGGAGGGTTGTTTGTAGACTACGTAAACAAAATCAGTCATAAAACCGGATAGATTTGGGGCGCTACAAAAGTTACACCCTTCTCAATACAAACGGGGTTAATTAGTAAGAACGAATTTCTAAAAAAATTCTTAATTTGAAAATAGCAAGGGGTGACTTTTGTATGTGCACTTGGAGGGTTGTTTGTAGACTACTTAAACAAAATCAGTCATAAAACCGGATAGATTTGGGGCACTACAAAAGTTACACCCTTCTCAATACAAACGGGGTTAATCAGTAAGACCGAATTTCTAAAAAAAATTCTTAATTTGAAAATAGCAAGGGGTGACTTTTGTATGAGCACTTGGAGGGTTGTTTGTAGACTACGTAAACAAAATCAGTCATAAAACCGGATAGATTTGGGGCGCTACAAAAGTTACACCCTTCTCAATACAAACGGGGTTAATTAGTAAGAACGAATTTCTAAAAAAATTCTTAATTTGAAAATAGCAAGGGGTGACTTTTGTATGTGCACTTAGAGGGTTGTTTGTAGACTACTTAAACAAAATCAGTCAAAAAACCCGATAGATTTGGGGCGCTACAAAAGTTACACCCTTCTCAATACATTTGAGTCATAAAGTACACGCAATGAAACTTAGCGAACCTCTCCTCTTCCCACATTCACTGATTTTCATGACCTCCATTCGTGGGTTGTGAACAAATGAGAGGATTTGAGAGATCGCAATAACTGTGGGCCCAAATCAGATCCCTGCGGTGCGCCCCCGAAAGCCGAACGTTCGGAATTCGTTACTTCTTGAAATGATACTGGGAGGTAATTAAGACCGCGTCGGGACCGGCATGAGAAAATAATTAAAAAGAAGTGGAAAATGATGCGGGCAGAAGGAATTCTGTTTGCAATTAATTAGCAAGCGCGCACTAAAGGCTTAGTTGTAAATAACGAGAGTTTATGAGCAATTAATGGATCTATTACATAAATCAAGGCCGTTACTCGGCGAATAATCAATCGATAGTGTTAATAGCGGATGGATTTTCTCGGTAACGTCGCTCGAGTCGTCGAATAATTATTTTCCGTTTAGGAATAGGCCGATTCTCATTTTAATCTTGATTGATTGTTAGCACAGAATCTGTACCATGCGCGCATACTTTAATTGAAGCTACCGCGAGAGACGCGCTTCTTGTTTAATTATTCAACACCTCTTCTGACGGGTAACGAGAAAATTTAAATTACTCGAAGTTTGGGCATCGGTCAGAGGTCAGGCTTCGCGCAATTTGTTAGCTCGTCGCTTAATTTGTTTGCAAGGCATAAGTTGGTTTAATAAAAGAAACGCGCGTTTTGATTGATTTTAAATTCAGTTACCCATTAATCACTTAAGGGGGGCATTTCCATTCGGTTCGAAAGCGATTAACGTCTCTTTTCAAATCGGTTGCCATTTTTGGCACTCGGTCTCTACGATTGATTTAACCGAATTGAAGGTGTCGCAGATGATTTAATTTAACGGCTCATTATCGATTAATCATGAGCTGTGCTGCGAGGAAGACGCGTGCCAAATGTTGCGTTTGATGTTGTTAACGGATTCGACGAAATTGCATTTTACGTCATGGAGTTGGTACAGGAAATTTGTGCCACTTTTTGAATGGAGTTATTGGCACGTCGAATGCTAAGGTATTATTGGTATTCGCGTGGAAGCGTAGATAGATCTAAGGAAGAAATAGGGTAAACTTCGAGAAGGGGCTGTAAGTTCCTTCTAAAGGTCTTGAAATCTATGATTTTGAAAACTTCTTCTCGTTTGTAAAAGACACAAGAAGACTCCCCCCGTGCTGCTTTTCCCAAAACCGTTACAGCTGTCACGTCTCTCAATGTTAATTTCCGGAAAAGAATAAGCAAATCTTCCTTTTTCTGCTGAACGGTGTCGGGGAGTACTTGTACTCCATACCCCCAGACCCTAGACCTAGAGCTCCCACTCACAGTTATGGTCATTATCCCAGGAGGACCATCGCATCTTCCGTTTTGAGGGTATTTATTCCATTCCATTCCATTAGAA